GTGAGCCACCAGCGCCCGGCTCTCAGGGACATTTTCTAAGTGACAGTTGAGTCTGGGTTTTGTTGAATCTAGCCTGGACACAATCCTCATAGTCATGCCTTTCTCATTGCTGAAATGACAAGTGTGCACCACCATGTCTTGTTTTTTATTAGTTGAGATGAGTCTTGAGAGCTTCCTACCCAGGCTAGCCTTGAACCATAATCCTCCTGCTCTGAGCCAAGTAGCTGAGATTATAGGCATGAACATCTGCATCTGTCATTTTGTTTTTATGTACTCATTGTTTATTTTTCAAAACTCATTTTCCTCTGGGTGTCTCTCTGACTGTTATTTGGGGTCTTGCTTGTAGTGCTGCGGTGGGCGTCGGTTTCTATGGAAACAGCGAGACCAATGATGGGATGTACCAGCTGATTTATTCCTTGGACAACGCTAACCACACCTTTTCTGGGATCGATGAGCTGGTAAGGCTAGGGGCAACTGGCTGGGCAGGGACACAGCCCATGAGGTCAGCATGGCCAGAACAAGAGTGCCAGTCAGATCCCAGGAGGCAGCTGCACACTTGGGCTCTGAGGTTGATACAGGGCTGGACTTCCTTCCCTAGTTACAATGGTGGTTTTCACATCCCAGGTCAAGAGTGGCTTGGGGGTGAGGGGGTGGGGGTGCTGTGGGGTCGAATCACCTTTTCAGGATGGATGAACACTGCTGTTTGCTGAAAGAGACCTTAAATATGAAAACGCGCTAGAATTATAGGTGTGAGCCCCTGGCACCCTCCATCCCTTAGCTTTTTTGCTCAAGGCTAGCACTCTTGGGCCACACCTCCACTTCTGGCTTTTTGCTGGCTAATTAGAGATAAGAGTGTCAGGGACTTTCTGCCTGCTCTAGCTTTAAATCATGATCCTCAGATCTCAGCCTCCTGGGTAACTAGGGTTGCAGGCATGAGCCACTTGCGTCGAGCTTTTTATGGTCACTTTAAGTACTTGCTGTGGACAGAGTCCCATGGGGTCCAGGAGATGTCCAAGGAAAACGTCTTCTGGAACAAAGAAAGAGCCCCTGGAGTGGAAAGATTACATCCAGACCTCAATACTGTGCTAGGCCAGCCAGACAAGTAGGACTTTCATAGGAAGGAAAATACTGCTCTGCTGAGTGACAGACAGACACTGGTGGGAGTGACAGACAGGCAGCACAGGAATTGAGGTTTCTCTTCCCATGTGCCTCTTGCTCTTTTCCACTGATTTTCTGGGCACCCAGGGCAATCTTGGGCGCTCCCCTACAAAGAGACTCTTGATAGAAAAGGCCTCAGGGCAGCGTTGAGAGTAGCTCCACCTTGGTCCTCTGCCCCATTTCTGCCCTTCTCTGGACTCAGTTCTGAGCAGAGGGGTGACAGCCCCAGTCCAGAGGGCCATTTATGTTACGCAGCCTCCACCTCAAGATCCAGCACCAGCCAGAGAAATAGGCGACTGCCCAGGCATCCTGGGGGGGGGGCTCAGAGGACTGACCTCATTCGCACCCCCCCCTCCTCACTGCCTTAAGCTCCTCTAAGGCTCTAATCCCTCACATTGTCCCTGGAGGGGGGAGCCTCTCCTTAAAGAGACAGCCGGGCTGTTCATGATGTCCTGGCATTTGGGGGAAGATGGCCTCCGGCCTCCAGAGAGGGGCCTTCCAGAGGCCCAGAGCAGGAAGCCAGGCTAGAGCCTCGCACTCCTGCAGAGCTCCTGCACGCACCCTGTGTCCGCTGGGAAACAACCAAAGTTCCAAGTGTCTGGATGAGGTAGAAGGGCCAAGGGACAGCCTCACAGGGCTGGTCTGACTTACTTTCAGGTCAGCATGGGGTGTGTGTGGCATGGCCCAGTCTAGGGGTTTGCCTTCTTGTCCCCCACCCTCCCTCACTGCACGCCCTAGTGGGGAGGAGCACTAAGGTCACAGCTCTCTGGGCTCAGTCTGTCCCTCCACGCACAGAAAGGTTGGGAGAGGAACTTAGCCCTGGGAAGGAGGAAAGCCCCAGAGCCATGACCTTCACTGGTTGAACCACCAGTGGGAAAACTTGAGCTCAGCCTGACTCTGCAAAGTTCTTATCTCCCAAGAGGAGGTTAGGGAAGAGGAGGAGGAGGAGGAAGAAGAGGAGAAGGAGGCAGAGAGGAAGAAAAGGAAGAGAAGAGGAGGAGGAAGAAAAGGAAGAGAAGAGGAGGAGGAATAGAAAGGAGGAAGAAAAGGAAGAGGAGGAGGAATAGAAAGGAGGAAGAGGGAGAAGAGGAGGAAGGGGAGGAAGAGGAGGATTAAGAGGGAGAAGAGGGAGAAATGGAGAGAATGAAGCCGGAGAAAAGGGGGAATAGAAGGAAGAGGAGGAATAGAAAACGGGGAAAGGCGAGGAGGAGGGGGAATAGAATGAAGAGGAAGGGGAGAAGATGGGAAGGAGGAACACAAGCAAGAGGAGGAGGGGAAGAAGGACGAGTCTAGTTGGCCAGCCACAGGGCCAGCCTTAGATGCTTGGCTACAAGTCTGCTCCTGTCCCCCATACAGTCCTGGAAGGAAGTCTTCCCATGGCCCCTACTCACCAGAAAGTGCAGTGGGCCATCTGGCTGGGCATGGCTCCCGACCTCTTGCCAGGCCTGGTGTGGTTGGACTGGGGGTGGGACTCCTGGAGAAGTGGCCGATCTTGGGAGAGCTCCAGGTGGGGTGTCTATGTGTCAGAGAAATGGTGAGGTGAAGTACAAAGTGGGTGACTCAGAAGATGAGGTCCATTATAATAATGACTGTAATCACCGTGAAGTGGAGGGGCTGGGGTTGGAGGGAGCTGGGGTGCGGAGCTCTGGGGCAGGGCGGATGACTTAGCCCTGAGCTTTGCTAGGAGCCACATTAGGTAGCCAAGTGGTCAGCAGAGGCCTTTTGGGGCTGCCCCAAAGCAGAGCCAGCTGCTGGGCCCTCTTCTAGAGGGCTCTCCCTGGATCGGAGGCCCTCCCTGCGCCCTTCCACCTTGAAGAGAGTGGGTTGGGTGGCAGCTCAGGGCTCTGGGCCAGCTGCATGGCAGAGAAGGCTCCTGTGGGAGAATTGGGGAACAATTGCCAATGGTTCCTCTACATCCAGGCACCTAATGAAGGGACTCCATGTTCCAGCTCCTTCCCTAGGGGACCAGGCACACTCCTCACCCTCAAGATTTAGTCAGCTTTTTTGTTGTGCTTGTCTTTGGTGAAGGTACTGGGGTTTGAACTCAGGGCCTGGGCACTGACCCTTAGCTTTTTTTCTGGTGCTCTACCACTTCACCATACTTTCACTTCTGCTTTTTGCTGGTTAATTGGAGATAAGAGTCTCACAGACTTTACTGCCTGGGCTGGTTTTGAACAGTAATTCCCAAATCTCAGCCTCCTGAGTAGCGAGGATTACAGGTGTGAGCCACAGAGCCCAGCACAAGTCAGCTTTAAATGATACTTTGGATTCCGTCAGGCCCATGAGCAGTGCCAACCTTGGTTTTTGTCTCGTTCTAGGGTCCAGTATGGCTCTGTCTTTGGAAAAACAAGCACAAGGAGGTGGCATTGGTTGAAAAGTAGTGTGGCACCCAGCAGGGCCGGAGCCCAGGCCTGTAGTCTTACCCCATGCTCCTTGTTGCTCCACACCTCACACCTGGCTAGCTGCTCTCAGATAACCCAGTGACGCCAAGCTTCCTCCTTCCTTCCCTCGCGGAGGTTTCAGCCTGGAGCTTGAGTCCCAGTGGCCTGGAGGGCTGGCTGAACTCTGACAGCAGAACCCGCCCCTGAGTTTCCTACTCTGTACTTCTGGGCAGTGCTCAGAGTTTGCATCTGCAGGGAGCTCTGAGGCCAGAGACCCCACTAGAGAGCCAGTACTTGCCACACTGCCTTCTTGAGGGTCTCTGGCCCTGCCTCCTGGGGAGCAGAGCTGCTTTTCTCAAGGAGTTTCTCCTCCCAGAGGAGGGAGCTAGGCTCCCGCTCTGAGGCTGGAGAAGCAGTCAAACTCTGCACACCTGGGGGAGAGCCATAGTGGTAGGTCAGTGTTGTGATTTTATTTATATATGTTTAATTTTGTTTTGCTCCCTTTGGGAAGACACCAAGAGGAAAGATGGCCTTGGCAGTTCATTATGCTGGTGGTTTTTTGTTTGCTTGTTTGTTTATTTTTGTGCCAGTAATGGTACCTGAATTCAGGGTCTTGTGTTCTCAACTGGCCAACTACTACTTGAGCCACATCTCCACTATTGGTATTTTGCTGATTAATTGGAGATGAAGAGCCCATGGACTAGATTTCTGCTAGGGCTGGCTTCACACCGCTATCCTCAGATCTCAACTTTCTGGGTAGCTAGGATTACATGTAGAAGCCACTCAACAGGCCCCGCTTGTTTGCTTGTTTGTTTTGACAATACTGGAATTTGAATTCAACCCTTGGGAGTCTCATGCTTCAAGCTTGGAGCTTTATGACTGAGGCACACATCCAGCTCTCCAGCTGTGTGTGTGTGTGTGTGTGTGTGTGCGTGTGTGTGTGTGTATGTGTGTGTGTGCGTGTGTGTGTGAGCTCTCCAGCTGTGTGTGTGTGCGTGTGTGTGTGTATGTGTGTGCGTGTGTGTGTGTATGTGTGTGTGTGTGTGTGACAGGATCTCACTATGTAATCCAGGCTGACTTTGAAATTCTCAATCCCCCTCCTCCCAGCCTTCCAGAGTTCTGATATGACAAACATGGGCCTATAATCACAGTGGCATTGTGATTTGTTTTCTGTTTTCATTTTCAAACAGAACTTTGAGAAAGAGAGAAGTTAAAAGTAGTGCCTAAGGGGAAAAAAGTTTACATAGAACTTTTTGCAGCCCTTTGTCCTAAAGTTTAATGTTGGTGGATAAAAATAACACACAGTATCATGTTTGTTCAGACTCTTATTTTATAATAGTGCTATTTGTCTTCATAGTATGAAGTCCTTGTACACTTATCTTATTAACTTAACCAATAGCCAGCCAAAGAGGCACATGCCTGTAATCCTAGCTACTTGCAAGGCAGAGGCAGGAGGATCACTAGTTCATAATACAAAAGAAAAGAAAAGGTCTGGAGGCATGGACCAGTGGTGGAGAACTTGCCTACCATGTACAAAAAGCCCGGGTACTAAAAACAAAAATTAACCAAGAAAGCTTACTAGGGTAATGCTTAGTTAACTAATGGACTCTGACATGTTTTGGAGTTTTCCTTCCTGTAGAGTATGGAATGACTCTGCCTTGGTGTCTCCTAGTCCCTCAACCGGCTCCTGAAACCCAAGCACGCACCAGAAAATGGAAGAAGCCATTGACATTGAGGAAATCAAATGAAACAAAGAACCAGGGCTGGGAAGGTGGCTCAGTGGCAGAGTGCTTACCTTGCATGCATGAGAGGCCCTGGGTTCAATTCCTCAGCACCACATAAGCAGAAAAAGCCAGAAGTGGAGCTGTGGTTTAAGTGGTAGAGCACTAGCCTTGAGCTAAAGAGCTGAGGGACAGTGCCAGGCCCAGAGTTCAGGCCCCATGACTGACAAAAAAAAAAAGAAAGAAAGAAATAAAGAACCATCTGAGCCCAGTGCCACTTGCTGGCTCACTCATAAAATCGCAGCTACTCAGGAGGCTGAGATCTGAAAGAGCACAATTTGAAGCCAGCCCGGGCAGGAAAATTTGTGAGAATCTTATTGCCAGTTAAGCACCAAAAATCTGGAAGTGAAGCTGTGGCCCAAGTAGTAGACTGCTAGCCTTAAGCAAAAGAGCTGAGGGACAGCGCCCAGGACCCGCACAAAATTTTTTTTTAAAAAAGTTTTAAAAGAGAAAACGACAGTGTTTTCTGGAACCGGGAAGTCCCAGTGTAGGGCAGACCTGAAAAGCTGCAAGGTTGATGTAAAATTCCTGTAGTGCCTGAGCACTGCCCCCCCTCCCAAGCTCACTCCCCCAACATGTCTCCTGGACCCCTGTGGGAAGGCCCCGCCCCCCTCCATCATTTTTATCTTTCAGGCCTCTGGGAGCCAAGGCCACCAGAGAAGGATTAGTAGGAGCTGCCTCACTCCCAGCCCTGGTGCTTCTGGGTTTAGCGAGACAATTTCAAAACAACACAATCCCTCTTCCTCCCAGCTGCTGCCTGGCCCGCCCTGCAGGCTCAGGCTGTGGGCTTTGGCCCCAGGCCTGGCCCCTATAGCATCTTTGCAAAACAAGCCACTCTGTCCTATTGTTTAGAAGCCAGCAAAGATAGTCCCTGCCTTTGTCCTCTCATTTGCACAGACAGGTGCTCCTTTGGGGTCCCCTCAGTTCCGAGGACCAGGAGCCTATCCACCCATGGACAGGACAGACAGACATACCAAAGCCATGAGCCCCAGAGCAGGCACCGGTTTCCTCCTGTCTTGCGTCCAGGCTCTTCAGAAGACAGACCCAGTCTGTGTTTTCAAAGTCCTATTGTTCTGCCTTCGCTCTGAGTTGGGGATGCGTCCAGCTGTTGCCAACTGGTGACAAAGCGCTTCTCTCCTGGGGCATTTAGATCCTGTCTGTGTAAATAGAGGTAGATAGGAGCTCTTCAGTTTGAATGATTTATGTCTGCAAAAGAGAGAATTCACAATAGAAATATTTAAGAAATTCTTCAAGGAAGAAAAAAATTGATCACTTAATCTCCCATATCATTTTTTTAGTGCCAGTATAGGCTTTGAGCTTAGGGCCTGGGCAATGTCCCTTAGCTTTTTTTGTTCAAGGCTGGTGCTCTGCCACTTGAACCATACCTTCATTTGCGAGTTTTTTTTAACTGGTTGACCAGAAATAAGAGTCTCATGGATTTTCCTGCCCAGGCTGACTTGGAACCATGATCCTCAGATCTCAGCCTCCTGTGTAGTTAGGGATTACAGGCGTGAGCCACCGGCATTAGGTCCCTATGTCTTCAGGTAGCTTGAATATCCCTTATGCAGAAGTGTTTAGTGTTTGGGAGTTTTTGTTGTTTTGTTTTTTGAGTTTTGGAATATTCCTATATGTTAGGTTTTTAAAAAGAGGTAGCCGAGTAAGAACAGCACCACACATGTGGTATTCAGGTAAGGGGTAGGTTTATTCAGTAGACCTGCTGGACCAGGCCAGGTTGGCCATCCATGTGGCTGGAAAGGCCTGGGAAAGAGCTGGGAAATAGAGAGAGCTGGGAAAGAGCTAGAAAAGAGAGCATCTGGGAAAGATGGGAAAAAGAGAGCTAGGAAAGAGAAGAGAGCTGGGAAAGAAAAGAGAAGGAAAGAGCTGAGAAAGAGCTAGAAAAGAGCAGAGAGAGAGTGCCTGGGCCTGGTCTAGGCCTTACCTAGGTTATGGGCGGAGAAAGGTGTGGCCACATCAAATTCAGATGTGACCTCAGCGCATGCAGATATGACCTCTTTCAGGTATCCCAGTTTCCTAGGTAACACAGGTACTGGATGAAGACTTTGCTGCAAGGAGGGTGGAGTCTGCTTGCCAGCCAAGAGTGGACCTTACACTATAGAGTTTACCCTTAAAGCTTTAAGAAGTTTTGGCACATAGCCAATGACATAAAGTCTTTTCACTTGGCTGCAGCCCTTAAAGTTCCAGTACCACCAAACAGTACCAAACTGTTAATACATGAGCTTTAGAGGAAAGAACATTCTAGATCCAGAGTATATCAGTGCGTCATGGGACTTCTGTCTCAAGTCCCCCTTCCAGGTCACCAGCCTCAGACAGCTCTCCTGGTCTGGGCATTGTGGTGCATCTCTTTAACCCATACTATCCACTGCTGCTGCTTCCTCCAGCACTACAGTCAGGTTCTTTCTCCTACCCCAGGACTAAATGTAGCCTCTGCCCCTTCCTAGGTGTCTGGAAACACTCACAAGATGAAGGAGGAGCTGGAGCAGCACCTTGACCGGCTCAGTGAGATCTTTGCTGCCCGGGGTGACCACATCCAGACCCTGAAGTTCGTGCAACAGATGGCTGGCAATATCATTGTACAGCTTTCAGGGCTGCCAGTGTGGACAGAGGTCACCACAAAGCTCACCGAGATCTCGGACCAGACCAGCTTTGTGGAACACTACAGGTGAGGGCCAGGGAGACAGCGGCAGGAGCTGAAGGGCACCACCCACCCTTACCACCAAATTCATTCCTACCTCATCTTGTCTTTGGGTATCTGTTTATGTCATCCATTCCTGGCTCTGGACACAGGTTAGAAACCTCAGACTAGCTGCTACCCTCTGTGTGTCATGTATGTGTTTGTATATGCGTGCACATGCATGCATATACATACACATGCTTGTGTAAGGCAGTACTGGGACTTTGAACTCAGAACCTAGGTACTGTCCCTTAGCGGTTTTCACTGGCTATCTGCCCCTTGAGCTATAGCCCCACTAACAGCTTTTTGCTGTTTAGTTGGAGATAACAGTCTCACAGACTCTCTGCTGAGCTGGTGGCTCATGCCCACCAGGAGCTACTCAGGAGTCTGAGACCTGAAGATCACAGTTCAAAGCCAGGCAGGAAAATCCATGAGACTCTTATCTCCAAGTAACCACTAGAAAACTGACTATGCTGGCTTCAAACAACAATCCTCAGATTTCAGCCTCCTGAGTAGCTAGGATTACAGGTGTGAGCCACCTTCCCAGCCCAGTATCAGCATTTTGAATGTCCCCTTGCCCTCCTCCCAAACACACACAAAGTTTTGGCTCCTTTTCAAGACATCGAGGAAGGTCAGAGCCTTTATCTTGGTCTTGTACAATGTACCCTGGCTTTCTGATTTATTGTGTCATAAAGCCCCACCCTGGGAGGTGATTGTTATGCTGAGGAAATGGTCCAGGGAGAGACCTGTCAGGGCCCCTTCCAGAGAGGAGTGCTGATGAAATCCTGGCTCTCTGGATTGTACATCTCCTCCTCCTACCAACCATGAGGTCCTGGGCATTCCAGAATGACATGGACCTTGGTCCACCTTCCCAACAAACAGATACTCATGGAAGTCCCTCCCCAGGGACTGAGAGAAGCTGACTTCCCTGAAGACTGCCTGCTATTTCCTGTGTCCCTGTGACTCGTAGGCCAGTCATAGTCTGAGCTGAGCCTTTGAGGGAGGGGTGGAGGGTCCAGAGTGTGTGTGGGGGGGTCCCTGTTGACTAGGCTCTTCTCTCTGGAATGCATACAGTAGATGAACTGTGGGTATTTTGGTAATAAAGATAATGAAGTGAGGATTTGCAAATCAAGACAGGCTTATTGGGGTTGGAGGTGTGGCTCAGTTGTTAGAGCACCAGCCAATGAGTGAAAACTTCAGGTACTACATTCAAAAAGAAAGGAAGGAAGGAAGGAAGAAAGAAAGAAAGTTTATGTTCGGGCACTGTGACTCACTCTTGCTCATTCTAGCTACTCAGGAGCCTGAAATCTAAGGATGTCAGTTCGAAGCCAGGCCAGGTATGAAAGTCCAGGAGACTCTTATCTCCAAATAACCACCAATAAGCTGGAAGTGGAAGTGTGGCTCAAGTGGTAGAGTACTAGCCTTGAGCAAAAAAACAAAAGGACAGCACCCAGGCACTGAGTTCAAGCCCTCGTTTTACACACACACACACAAGTCAGGGGAGGCAGGAGAGTGAAACACGGCAGCTGCTTCAGTGAGTGAGTGAAGAGCCCCTCTAGCCCCATCTCTAGCCCCAGCCCCCATCTCAACCCCTCACCCCTTGTTCAGATTGTGGAGAAAGGCTTCTCACCATGGTGGGCCCTGCATGTGGCTCCTGAAAACTGATGACATTTTGTTATGGCCCCCATCTCTGCTGACATTTGTGTCCTTCCCCCACCCCCACCCCAAACTGCTGAAGCTCTCAAGGTGCTCCTGTGAGCCTCCCCAGCCTGACTTTCCCATGCTCCCTACACTGAGCCATCTGGTGAAGTAACACTTCTGAGTACTTGGCGGAAGGCCCCGTGACTTGGAGAGGATGAGCCAGAGGCTCCGGGTCCTGGGGCTAAGGACGCCGACACCTTGCCAGCATCTGCAGAGGCCGGATGTGGTGGGGTCTGGGGAGTGGGGCAGACGGGAGAGGCTCTGCAGACCAGGGCCAAGTTCTGGGTGAGAAATCCAGCCCTCAGTCCTGTGGGAGAACACATCTGCCTCGGGTTGCTGTTTCTAGGAACTGCTTATGCACACGCATGGCGTGGGTACAGAGAACACACGTGGGATCCCAGCTGTGGAGGGTGGTTCACACACACACACAGAGCTGGATTTCCTGAAGATGAAGGGTAGAAGGAGTTATACCGCTCAAGGAGTTCGGGGAGGTACCTGTGGCTGACGGACTCTTCTATGACTACTACTACTATTACTATTGTTATTATTATCTTTAAGTAGCTGTACAAAGGAGTTGCCGTTTAACAAAGCAAGTGTATGAATACAAATTTATGATCTGTGTCACCCCTTTCAATATTCTCACCCATTCCTCCCCTGCCCACCCCTTCCCTCACTCTTCTGAATATTGTAGGATATACATTGAATTCTTGACTGCATTTTCCCCCTCTTCTCCCCTTCATTTGTCTACCCCTTTCCCCTTGATGCCACTACACCCTTTTCAAGTATTTGCTTCTTGGTGTTTTATTTTGCTGAATGGCTGTGTCTCTTGTAGGAAGGAGGATCTTGAGTTCCAGGAAGCTTCTGGAATTCCTAGGCCAAGCTCCTTTGCTATGAGCCTTGACTTTCCAATCTGCAGCATGGGGTAGAACACTGAGTGGTTTCATGTTTCTTCCAACTCTGAGTTTGGGGTTTGTTTCCCTCCCCCATCCCCCCCCCCGCCCCACCCTCTGCTCACTGTTACTGGGGCTTGAACTTAAGGCCAGGGTACTGTCCCTTAACTTTCTAGTCAAGGCTGGCATTCTGCCACTTGGGCCACACCTCCACTTCCAGCTTTTAGCTGATTAATTGGAATTAAGAGTCTTGCAGACTTTCCTGCCCAGCCTGGCTTTGAACCTCCATCCTCAGCCTCCTGAGTAGCTAGGATTATAGGTGTAAGGCTGCAGGGCCCAGCCCAGCTCTGCTTTTAAGAAAACTTGCCTCGGGCTGGGAAGGTGGCTCAGTGGTAGAGCGCTTGACTTGCATGCTCGAGGCCCTGGGTTCGATTCCTCAGCACCACATAAGCAAAAAGAAAAAAGCCGGAAGTGGGCTGACACT